TAAAAAAAAAAAAAAAGGTTTGAATTCTCAAAAAAAAATGCAGCAGGCTTCTTGGAGAAGCTTTAAGAAAGTTAACGGAAAGATAACGGAGGAAGGGACGGAAGTGACGGACGGTAACAGCCCAACGAACGGAAATTACAAAAAAATGCTATTTTCTTCCATTCTTATAGGTTGAGGCTAAAACTGTTATGTTATAAGGTGAGGGGCTAAAACCGTATAACTTATCAAGGTAAGGGGCTATTCTGAGGCTTTTGCCCCATGGAAGAAACCAACACATGCGCCTTATAAGTAAGGAACAGGTACCCCCTTCCTGCCTGTAACAAGTACAATATTATAAAACATAATGTGATATTAAATAAATAATTATATAACATTAAGCATGACTTATTCAAATACAATAAGTTAATAAAATAAGTTAAAACATTGAACATTAACATTTTCTACAATGAGTAGCATTCCGACCCGACCCGACCCGATTCTACATTAACTACACACGAATTTTGACGGTAGGAATTAAATGGTAGGTCAATAATATGAATATCTCCTATTATTCCATACAAGGAAATGTGCATAAGAATTCTATGGTAATCAAATAAGAATTTCAACAATTAGAATTCTATTTGGTGATCTCAGCTACAAAATAAAAATGGTCAGTTGAAAAATAATTGTCAATATCCAAAAACCAATTCACTAATGTTTTGTGTTTTTTTCTTTTTCTTTTTTAAATCTAACCAGATCTGATTGGTAGAGGCCATTAATTTGATTCAGGAAGGGACACAGAATATTGTCATCCCACTTGACACTGTGACCAGAAATTGGAAAAAGAAGCTCCTACACAGATCTTGCTCTGATTTAACCCTCCATAACAATCAAGAATTCTGCTGGCTAAACTCAAGAGGACATAATTCTGTTGGCTAACTCGAGGACATAGTCCGTTACCTTCTCAATTCCATCACCCACTTCTGCCCCACCTCCCTCAACCCAATCTATATGAACTCGGCATTATTAACACTGAAGTCTTCACCGTCCACTACCATGCTCCTGCATCCTCGACGTTGCCTTTGCTTTCTCAATCCCTCGTGACACAAGCCTCTGTTGCTGTTGCGGGTGTGGATGGGAAATTGATTGGTGAAATCTCACCCAAAGAAGTGAATGCCGTTCCGTACCAGCTTTTTAAGTAGATGGAAATAGTATAATATTAATTTTTGTTTCAATTAAAATTTGGTTATTTTGGTCAAAATTCGATTTACTGGTCAAAATTTTTATAAATAGTCAATTCATCAAAATTTTGGTCGGTACACACGGACAAATTAAAAAAAAAAAAAAAAAGTGATTCCCTGGCTCAAAACAACTTCGTTTTGGGCTAAGGGTTTCTTGCAATTGCAATTTCCGATAAAAAAAATCATCCATATAACTCAATTCAAATTTAAAAAGAGTAAATTTTATTTTTGGTCTTTAATTTTAATGTTTTATATAATTTTCATCTTTTAACTTTTTTATGTACTTTTTTAGTCCATTCTTCATTTTTTAAACCATTCTATCAATTATTTTATTAAATTTGTCTAAATATAAACATTTTTAGTCCCTTAATTTAAAGTGAATGGAAGAAAAATATACATATATTAGAAGTTGAGGGATTAAAAATAATTATTTTAAACTTGTTTTTAATTTATAAAAATATGATGATTTTAAATATTAGTATCCCTTATCTTATTTTAAAATTTGATATTTAATCTATAAAAATATATATTTATAACGATAAATCGGAAACGATATGCGAAAAATTTCGATATCCGGTACGTACCGTTCCAGTAACAAAACTGATACGCATACCGGTACGGTATTGACTCATTTGATCTCACCTTTCATGAATCTGTTTCTGCAGCCCTCATGACGCTCTCAGTTGGTGAGTTGATAGTGTATATGGACTGGGGTGGACAACCAGAGGACCTAGCACAGCTGATTAAGGAGAGATTGCTGGAGAGGAATTTGAAGCTGGAGAGGAATTTGAAGCCTGCTTTGGAGTTGATGGAGGAAGACTCGGGGATTTCATCATCTTCACTGGATGAAGAGGTTTGCCTCGGGAAGACTGGGAGATTGAGGAGGAGTTCAAGGGTAAATGTGTGCTACCCATGGAGCTCGTTGGTGGTAGTCATGATCCAGGCACCATCACACCGAGCAAATTATGTGTGGGCTGTTGAAGAGGATGGCCCATTAGCTGGGATTGTTACCTTTGCCAGGATGATGAGGATTTTCCAGAACATATGAAGCCTATTGGCTTCGTGTGGTAGAGAAAGATTCAGACTTCAGACAATGAAATTGAGAATTCAACCTTAAAAAAAAAAAAAATTGCAGCTAAAAGGAGTATTATGTTATTGGTTAAATACCCTTTTTGGTCCCTCTACTATAGGAAAAAGCCCCTTTTT